CAATGTATGTTAAAATTTCACTTGTTTGGTGAAATAGTGTAAAAAGCTAATCTAAACCCTTTTGTGAGTTGACCATCAGGGGAAACTGTAAGGGGTCAGCTTTTGACCATTTCTTTCATCCGTTCATTGAAAACAGGTGTGTTAGTTGAAAAGTTGCTCTTCCAGTTGCAATAGTGAGCATTTGAATAAATGAATGCTCTGAAATATGCTTTGATCCTTTATTTATGGTCTTTGATCTTTAAGTGTAGTAAATAAATTTTAAAGTGTTCAAATAATTTTATTTTGTTAAAGTTTTCAAATTACATGTTTTTGTGTTCTGATATTTTAGGAAATTATATTTATTAAAGACTTTACATGCATAACTAACGAAATAATTTTTTTTAAAAAAATTAGTTAAATATAAGAATTATATGTATCAAATTGAAGTTCATTCAGGTTTAAACACATTTCTTAAGATATTTATTTGCATATTTTCTGAATCAAGTAAAAAAAAAATTTCATATAAAGCAACATGATATAGGAAACGAAAAAGTAAACAATGACCCCCCCCTCTATAAGTTAACCACTTGTCTAAGTTGACCACTAAAACAATGCACCACAAGTGGTCAACTTACACAAGTTTTCCTGTAGTATTAAAATGTGATTTGATTAAGAAGCAACAGGTAATTTAATGATGTTACATATAGAATACATAAGTTTAGTTTTATAAATTAGTTGGATTTAAAAACTATTTGAACTTTTTAATTACATAAAATACCTTTTTTGGGATTTACTCTCGATGTCTCAAAAACCTTGCTTTGTCAAAAAAATCCTTTTCCTTTATATTTTCACCTAATATTAATATCGATTCCGTGTCGAAGAGTTTCGTGTCTTGTCGAACTCTTTTCGAAGTAAAAAATGAATTATCAAGAATTATAAGAATTATCAATTTAATTACCAATTTTAATAAACTCTATTCATGCAAGTTTATTGTAAGCGAATTCTTTTATATTTTTGTTGCTTTTAAAAATGAATTATAATTGCTTTATTTAGACTTATTGTCAACTATTATCTTTATTAGGATTTATTATGTACTGTGACTCTACGTTTTAGAATACTATTTAAGAATTTATTGCTTTTTTTTTTATCTATTATTTTTTTTTTACTTTTTAGAGCATATATTTTTGAACTCATCTCGAAAACTCGCTACTTCGAAATTATTTTTAGCGTCCCTTCAACTTTGAGATATCGAGAGAAAAAGAACTTTTAGATATATATTCTTGTAACTCTATTAAAAGTAATATTACTGATTAAACTTGCTTTTTCAGGAAAAGTGTTTCTAAATTTTATTTGCTACGGTTTTAATTTATACTGAAATAATGTTTAAGTTTGTAACGTAAGCTTGAAAATTAAATCTAAGTTATTCAAAGTTTCAAAAGTATCAAGATCGATAGCTATATTAAAAAAAAAAATTGCTGTATTACAACTTTATATTTTTTACCTCTGAATACCTCAGGGTTTTACCATACAGTCAATCTAAACAAAAACGTACAAATTTATTTTGTAACTTTGGAGTTATGTTCACTTCACGAAGAAAAAAGTGGTTTTATAGTAGTGTTCGAAATGTATCAGTGTGAACTTAGTTATTAGTATTATAAAAGATTTTTTTGCAAGATACGTAAGTTTTTTTTTTAAAGCTGCTTCCAATCAGCAGGAAAGCTGCAAAGTAAGTCTATTTGTGTTTTTACTCAACTTATTTGGCACGATAGCCAAAGGTGGGCCAGAGGCCTCAGTTGCAGATTCCGCCAGGACAACTTGCTTTCACCCCTATCATTCTAAACAAGGCTATTTGAGGATATATATATATATATAGCGGACCCTCCATNATAATATAATATAATATAATATAATATAATATAATATAATATAATATAATATAATATAATATAATATAATATAATATAATATAATATAATATAATATAATATATCCCCTCAAATAGGTTGCGTTTTCCCCTATATATTTTAAGTTTGGCTCAATCAAACATTAAATAATCGCTGTTATTTTACCTTTCAATAGTAAATTATTAATTTTATTTTCCAGGAATTAAATGCCGTTGGTGAGCTTGTCAAGGCACCTGATTAATCTTGCACTGGTGCCCGATTGGACTCTCAATATAGCGCCAGATGGAAGTCGTAATTATGCTTCATCGTTCACGCTGCTGTGCCTGATGGCTTTGCTATGACACCTGATGAGTTTCGCTATAGCGCTTGGAGTAAGTACACTTTGCATTGCTTTATTTATTTTCATGATGATCTAAAATATTTTTAATTGAAAATATTTAAATTTTCCTTTCATCCTAACATCCTTTCATGACTATTACTAACTCGCTTAATCTTGAATTTTTAAAAAAATCTTCCTTCAAATCATAAATTACAAAGTTTGAATTGGTTAAAAGAAAGAAAGGTAGAAATATTAATTTCATATGAGAAAAAATTGATTGCAATGCTCGGTGCAAGCCGGATGCGGAATTCGTATCGACTGGCCATCGCTGGGATTCGAACTCTGTTCACCTTATTGGAAGGAGAACGCTCTATCCCCTGAGCCATCAGGGCTATGAATATTTTTGTAACCTCATTTTCCTGTGTCATTTTTTCTTATCATACTAGGATATGTATTGTCGCGGTTTAGAAGGTCCCCTCCCCCCAAGAAATATTATATTATTCCTATTTTTTTTAATAGGGTGTATTCTCGGATATGTGCAATTTTCTATGAAAGAAAGGGTAACTAGGAGTTGAAATAAAAAACCTGATGTAAACTTAAATTTGAAATCCGTTACGTACCCGTACCACGCATGCAACTGTATTTTTTTTTGAAGGCATGTTTAAATATAATTAAATTAAAATTATTGAATCAAAATCTTTCAATGGGATATATATATATACCACAACGTTCTTCTACACTTGTATCAATTTGTCGCCTTTTTCAGATGTAAGAAAAACTATATGAAGGGCAGCTAAACACTTCTACAGCTAAGGTCCTAGACACAACTCCAATTCAAAAGTGAGACAAAAACCTAAAATTTTATAAATTGTATTGAACTCCAAAATTTTTTGTTTTAAAGTAGAAATCGTATGTTACAAAAATAATTTCTGCAACTTTCTGCATTTACAAGGCACCATAAAAAGAACATTTTGAAGTGTATTTTATTCAATTCTTTCTATTAGTTCACAGTCTCCCAATATATCTTGTTCAAATTTTCAATCGTTAAATAAAATACTTTTTACGCATCGACTCAAGTTCAAATACATTTTTTTTACTTGATGTTAATACAGTTTTTTCAATTATTAATTTATTAATTAAATTTAATTTATTTTATATGAGAGAAATAATTTTATATATTTAATAAAAAGTAACTAAAATAAAAATTTTCTTTATTGACCTAAGTAGGAATTGACTTTATTATTTTTTTAAAATATACTTGTTTTTGTTATTAATAAACTGTTTACGTCTTGCTTTATATAAAATAATTGTTGCATTATATTGACCACACTTGTTTTGTAGAAAATAATTTTTTTTAAAAAATTAATTGGTTTAATATATTTTAAGAAAATTTGTTCAACTCCAGAGGAAATGTAGAGCTAAAAGATAATTGACTATTTTAATTGTTAAACAGAATTTGGAGTTTACGTGAAACAAACACAATTAGTAATTGGTGGAAAAAAAGGTATGTGATGCTGTTTTTTTGAGAATCACCTTCACTAAAAGCAAGCAATATTAAAAAAAAAAAGAAAATATAAGTCAATTCCTAGTTAGGTCAACGAAGAAAAATTTTGTTTTCGTAACTTTTTATTAAATAATAAAAATTTTTCCTCTCATATAAAACTGTACAAACATGAAGGTTCATCCATTACAAATTTAAAAAAATGTAATTTGAATGTAAAAATAAAAAGTATTCTATTAAATGATTGAAAATTTGAATGAGATATAGGAAGAGTGTGAACTAATAGTTGGAATTGAATAAACCCAATTTGTTATTAGTTGTAAGTTGTCACATCAAAATTATTTTGGCTTTGTCTAAATCGAAGTTTTTTGTGAGCATATTTATAGCGGTCTGTGTTACTGAAGAAAATAACTGCAGAGTGAAAGTCACAAATTCAAAATTAACTTAACCGAAAACATAAAATCGTTTTCTAATTGGTTGTAATTGTACCTTTCTAATTAGTTGTAATTGTAAAAAAATAGCATTGATAGAAAAAAAAAATAGCAAGGATAAAAGATTTAATGTATTTTAATTTCAAATACAAACATATGTGTCATGCTGAAATACGCATTACGTAATTCCTAACATTTATAAATAATACTCCTAATATTTACTCTTATCTTATTTAGTCCTTTTCCAAGTAAATAAAAATCATTAATATAATCAGTAATCTTTTAATATTACAACCTCGAATTGAGTTCAGAGTAAAATCTATTTTAAAAGGTAAAATACGCTATTTTTCGCACTTTCTTTACCGCCAACGAATTTGAATGCGTTTAGGATCAAAAGTATAAAGCCTTGACATACAATTTTTAACGATTAATAGCCAATACATGGATTCCTTAACTTTCCTTGTCGAAAACTATTTTAACGTACTCATGAGAGTTTTGATTTCTTGATAGACGGAGTTGTCCTGTATGGCTTAGCCCTGCAGCCACACCCTAAAGGCCATTTTATAAATTTATACGTACACAAAAAAATGAATCATTTTTGTGTACACTCAATTCAATGTTGTGGTATTAAAAGATAGCTGAATATATTAACACATATACCTATATTACCCAAAAGCAGTCAAAATGACTGCATTGTGAAAGAATAACTAATGTGTAAAGAAATTTGTTTAAAATTCATTTTTAATATTTTATTATTTATAGTTATATAAAAAGTTATTAGTAAATATTAACACTAAAAAAATAATATGTTGTGCAAAAAGTCACGAAATTCTAAGAAATTGTGTCTTTACATACATCGTTGTTTTCATCGGAATTAAAAAGTAGTCAAATTGACTTCCTTGAGCAATCTAGTGTCAATGATTTTTATTTACTGAGAAAAGAATTAAATAGGAAAATAGTTTAGTTTTTAAATGTTAGGAATTACGTTATGCGAATTTCAGTATTACAACAGGCCTCAGTTCTTGCAGCTTGTGATGATTTCACTAAATCGAAACAAAATTACAATTAAATTTCTTTTTTTAATATTTAGATTTTTTCTATACAAAGTATCAGAGCCGCGATGGCTCAGGGGATAGTGTTCTCCTTCCTATGAGGTGAACCGGGTTCCTATCCCAGCGATGGCAGGTATGTAAGAATTCCGCATCCGGCTTGCACCGACCGCAGTGCTGACGTGAAATATCTTCAGTGGTAGACTGGTTTGAGTCCCCTTGCCGTCTGGCTAACCGAGGAAGGTTCTCGTGATCTTCCTCTCCATGTAATGCAAATGCTGGTTAATTCCATCAAAAAGTGCTTCTCGAAGAAAAATTTCTCTCAATACTTTATCCATGAGTTCCCTTGTCTTCTGGATTGGTTCAAAATTACAAGGCTACGTAGTTGAAGATTAGTAGTTGTAAACCCAAAAATTGGGTCGGCTGTTCAACGACGATTATAAAATAAAATATATCAAGTAAAGGGCAAGTTTAGTGGTCGCCATTAGCTACGTACTGACTAAATAAAATTAAGTGGTACTCTATCCTTTCCACTCTTTAGTTCCTTCATAGACATTCAGCACATAATGCGTTTAATTTTAAAAACTTCTGCTTAGTTTTTTAATCAAGTGTTTGACAAATTGAATAATAATGAATTTCTTAAAAGGAGTCTTGAATAAAACTCTTTTTTTTTCCCTAACTTTTTCAAATGGAAGGATTTTATGTCTTCATTATCATTTGACATGATATTCACTGACCCTTTTTTGTCCTTATTTTCATTAACAATCCATTTCAACATCTTTTCAGATTTAGCTAACTTTGTTTTTTTATTATTGAAAGGCTGTAAAGTAGAATAAATTAATAACGTAAAGAAACTTATCAAGAAGTCGTCAGATTTTATTTCTTTGCTGAAACATGAAATGGGAAAAATCCGTGAGGTCTTTAGCTCACTCATACCAAATGACAATGGAACGGGAAGATTCACGGGATAGAACGATCGCCTTCAAATGAGGTGAACCCAGTTGAAATGAGTTATATGCAGGTTAATACGAATTCCGCAAGGAGATCGCACCGAACACAGTGCTGACGTAAAATATCCTCAGTGGTAGACGGATCTTGGGTTAAAGTCTCCTTGCCATCTGCCTAACCTAGGGAGGTTTTCGTGGTTTTCCTCTCCATGCAACGCAAATGAATGTTAATTTTATCAAAAAATCTCCACAAAAGCAAATTTCTCCCCAACTTGCTCCAGCAGTTAATTTGTCTTCTGGATTGGGTTCAAAATGACAAGGCTATGGAGTTGAACATTAGTAGTCGTAAACCCAAAAATTAAATCGGCTGTTCAACCATGGTAATAAAATAAAGAAATGAAACGTTAATCGTGAGAGACAAAAATATTAAATAAATTCCCAAAAGTTAATTTCCCCCCAAAAAAACTTCAGTAAAATAAAAATAAAATAAAAAAAAAAAAAANAAAAAAAAAAAAAAAAAAAAAAAAAAAAAAAAAAAAAACAGGACACTGATTGAAGATTAACTGAAAAAAAAAAAGGGAAATTGAAAAATGTAAATCAAACGCAAAAGATAAAAAAAGAAAGAAAAAATGAACAATGATAGAACAGAGAAAAAGCTGAAAGTAGCAGTTGCGGAACTTCTAACCTTAATATTTTATGTTTAATTAGGAGGCTCAATTTTCCAGCATAAGTTATTATATTTCATTCTGATGGAGAAATTTAAAATTGATTATGAGAAAAACCATTCTAAAATCAAACCTATTATATATTCTTTTTTCAATTTTTTATAATTATTTTTCCTTAAAGCATGATGTTATAACAGGGTACGTAGCATTTTTAAAAAGTGCTTAAAGGTTATTTTTGATTTACTTTTTTTAAAAGCCCTTAACACGTTGAATGCCACGCTAATTTTACATGGCTTGACCGTCTGGCCAAAAGGATTTTCTCAGTATGTATTGCATTAATTTCTTCAAACCATTTTAGTAACGATAATAATATAAAAAAATTAAAAGCATTAAAAATTTACTCGAATTATATGTTTCGAATAATCTTGGCTTCGCCGTGTACCCGTGACCCACTGTGGC